CCCAACCTGCTCCAAAACAGCTATTTCAGCTGCTCCCGTGGCTGCTCCCAAGTGCATTTCATGAGTTCCACCCCTGATCAGGTTCTGCATCCCATCAAATAAACATGAATGAAGAAATATTGTGTATTTTATTTATTTGAGCATTTTCTACTCCACACACATTTTTCCCGAAAGCATATAAGTTGGAGATAGCCCGTGCTCCATGTTCCATGCAAAACCGTGAGCGGGAGAGTGAGAGGGTCCCCGGAAAAGGGGGGGGGGGGGGGGGGGTAGGTTTGGCATTTCGGGGGGTTTCAACCTCCCAAACCCCCCCCTCTTCCTACGTTACTGTAACTAGCCATCATCTCATTTAAAAGTTGTAAATGATTTTTTGAAAATTCTAGTGGGAAGACGCAGCCCGTTTTCTCCTGTCTTCGGTAACTGGTGCCCATTCGGCTCCTTGTATTCAAAAGCTCCGTCGGCACTTGTGCAAATTACGAGTGGTGGAGCCGATGTTTCTTTCACCTCGATCAGAACGGAACAAGCTCAAACATTCAAACCTGCACAGCAGTGACTGGAGAGACGGAGACCTCGTACGAAAAGCGCTGACGAGACGGTGCGACCAATGGAAGTTCCAAGTTAACCGGAGTGTGGGCAATTTTTTCATCGCCCTCGTATTCGTTTTTCACGCAAGGCCTCTTGGTTGAGATCGAACCGGGTTCCCTCGCTTTTCTTGACAGAACTCGGAATACTTGAGAAGTAATACAGTGCCTGTGGCACGAGTTAATCAGTCCAAACCAATAGAATATACGAAACATTTTTTTTATGACTGCCGAAGCACCGAAAGTGCTTTGACTAAGAAACCCTGAACGCATAACCGTGGGGAGTGAAAGATTAGCGACTCCCGGAAACTCCCAGTCAAGGTCTTTTGCGTTGATCCTCGGGTTTTGGTCTAACCCTTTGTTTTTCTCGGGGGGGTATGTGATTGCTGCAGCGGAGGAGTTTTTGGGTAGTGCCTTGGCATCACGTACCCTGTTTCACCATACAGTGCACCACCATCACAAATGCAACTGGTATCCTTTGCCAATCCATACTGTGGAGCACGTCGCATGACGTTTTAGTTGGGCGAAGTGACGTGTGGAGCCCGAAATCGCGTGGCACGCTGGATTGGCTAACCTGACTCGTGACATCCATTGCAGTATATAGTAGGGTGGAACGGAGTGCTTGCCCAAACAAATTGTATTTTTGGGAGTCAGGGGTCTTCTATAGGAAGCTGAAACACTTCTTTCAGAAAATGAGATAAAGCTTGATTCTAGCTTAGTTTGATCCCGTGAATCTGAATATTATGTTCGTTTCCCCCGTAGATGTAACTAAACATGAAAAACCTCTGACCAGTTGCCACGTCGTAAGAGGATCTTTCGGCCGTCAAGCGCGTGTCGCTTGAGGGTCGCGCGTGCAGTCGCAAGCTTGCCAAATATATTCCCCCGCACTGGCACCGGTCGTGATGTATCTTTCTGACCTTTTTGAAAATAGCAATGGTGCGCTTGCATAGCTTTGACAGGCGCTGAAGATGCACGAGAGCAGAGATTCTGAAAACTCCTTTTGTGACTTCATGCTCTGGGAAGAAGGGTTTTCGGCTGTACTTGGTTGGAAAGAAAATTGGCGCGTGACATGTTCGTTGTAAAATCGTTTCTCAGTGCCGTAATAGTATTTTTATCGACAACATTTTTGTTTCAGAAACAAATGCTCTACATGGTCATTATTGTTTTCAAGCATATCCCGAGATTGCCCTATCCATTGTGGTTTTAAATGATAACAAACATGGGTGCCGGCATTTGCGGCATGCTCAACGAGCGTAACACATTGAACCCGTTTACTTTTATGAGTGCAAGTCGTTCTCCGTTCACCGTAGTGTTTAGAGAAAGATCTCCTCAACTGACCTAGTTTGCAGCAAACAACTGTTGCAAGTATGCACCTTAGGAAACGCTGTGTGTGCTTGTTTTTGTAATGAGAAAGGGGGATCGGTGGCCGAGTGGTCTAGTGCACACCAGCTCGGAGCACGTGGAGCGAAAGCTCGCTCTGCAGAACCCAGGGATCCTGGGTTCGAGCCCCACCCCTGCCCGTTTCGATCTGGATGAGCATCGTACCGGCGTGCGGTTGTGTATCACTACTGCGTGATGCACGTTAAAGACCCCAGGCTAGCGGCTGTACCGCACTGGCTAAATTTCTCATCTACAGCTGGGAGACTCGTCGCCCCTCTGAGGCAGACCAAGTTCTAGGTTGTATAAACACACACACAACCCAATTATTATTTATTTTGTAATGAGACTGGCCTGAGCCTTAAAGGGGCCCGGCAATTATATTTAAGCGTCTACCTTTTTTGCGGTTTCCATGTCTCTTGGGGTTCAGGCAAGCCAGCAGGCACGGAGAGAGTGACTAAATATCAGTGCGTCATATTTTAACCGGACGACGCGGAAACCTCCTCCACCAACGAGGGCGACCTGTGTACTGAAAGCGTGCAAAATGTGACATCTTTGGCCCTGGGCTTACTACTGGTCAGAGCCACTAAAAGCTTCTTGTTAGTCAAAGTACAAAAAATAAGTGGCGCGAACCATTCCAATTATTTATAAAAGTAGTTTTTGTTCAGTATTTTAGATCAGAAAAGAAACAAATGCAGTTTATAAAGTACGGAAACGAGAAATGACCCGTTGACATACTCGCCACCAAGCGGTGGAAAAGGCAGCGCACACTAGAAAGGAGTAGTGGGATCAGGCGCCAACACGGAAAGGTCTTGGATGTATGCGGCGGCGCTGCGGTCGTATGGACAGGAGGATCCGACCGGCTCCGAGCATTCTGAAGGCCTGCGGCGAGAAACTTTGTCTTGCGGTTTGGCCGTTTTGCGGTATGGCAGCGCGAAGTGGCTCCCATTCTGAACTGATCTTTACCCCGTGTTTGCTGTCGTTTGTGGCCAATGAAGTGGTATGCCGAATTAGTGTTAAATCATGCAGTAAATGCATTGAGAGCCGCTCTGGCTGCCCGCTGCATACAGTTTATCCAGAACATGCTTTAGTGGCGCCCTCTCGCGCCGTCAACACGGAGTGCGGCATCCGTGAGCTCTCGATGAGCTTACTACCCCTTTTCTAGGTCACGGTTACTCAATCAACCAAAGACGTCATGAGGGAGGTTATTTTTTGCTTGCTTTTGTAATTTTAATTTTCCTACAACTTTTAAAATAAAGCGAATTTCGAAAAAAGAAAAGTTTCACTAAGTTACTGCGTTCAGTGCGCTCAGTTTGGTGCAAACTAAAAACCAGTAAAAAAAAAGTCGTTGCAGGGCCCCTTTAAAAGTATTAGTTTACATGCTGTATGTAAACATGCTGTGTGTAAAAAAAAATATTGTTGGTAAGCATGCTGTACATTAAAAAAAATAGTATGTTTACATGTTATGTGTAATATTTTTTTTCTTCTAAGGCGTTAGATTATTTTAGTGATAGACCAAATTTGCCGAACTTCACATTCGGCAAAGTTCGGCACATGCCAAACTTTTAAAATAAAGTTTGGTAAAGATTCGGCAAAACTTCGGCAAAAGTCTGCATGTGCGAGAATGTGACGGGGCCATGAATTGCAAATGGATGCCATGCAGTCAGGCGGTTACCATCGTACAGTGTAGTATTACCAGTGGTTACGGTGAGGTTTGGAGTAGGCAACACTGTAACTGTGTGTTTGTGAGCCTTTGCGAGTGTGGTTCTCTTCAATATTTTTTTGCCTCAAGAACAGAAGATCGACCAGAAATTGATTTAGTCCACTGCGCAGGTGACAAATGATGCGGTGCATTCTGGATACCGCAATTTTCACTTGATCTTTCCTGTGGTGCAACGAGGTTGTTGCAACATTGACAAGTACCTTAAAGCACTTCTTGCAATTGTAGCCATCCTGTTTACAGCTCACAAGTAGTTTGTGCCAATACAAAATAATATTGCTTTTTAACCCTTTAAATGCCTTGAACGAGCTGAGCTTGTCGGCTGCTTTCTGGTTCAAAATGACATGGACGTGCTCGGCTTGTCCAGTGATATTTTCGGTAGCCCCCAATTCCACGGACGAGCTAGGCTGTCCAAATAGTTTGCGGCGTTGAGCATAGATGGCAGCACTTGTTTTAGCTGGCACCTTTTTTTTTGCTACCACTAATTTTTGCGTAATCAACTTTTTTAAATTTTATCGGTGATACTAGAGGAAGAAAACTACTAAAAAATATTGCATTTTTAGGTTACTTCTAAAACAAAAAAGTGGCACTTAACCCCTTCACTGCCAAATTAAAAAAAAAATGATGCGAATCTTTTAATTTTTTTTCTTCCTGTATTTTTTTAAACATTATTTTAAAAGAAGGAACTATGAGCACTTTTTAATGTTAGACCTTAGTTAATAAATGCCATTATTTTTTGTATTTATATGTAATGACTACTTCCAATGCAGTTTTTCTATTCTTCTCAAACAGAAAACAGTCCATGTTATTTTTGGAACATTTATCATGGAGATAAAACATTTATACTTTGCAAAAAAAGAAACTTGCAAAATGTTATTTTTTTCTTGACATCCGTGCCCAACTGAGGAGCGACTTAAAGAACCTAGAAGTTGGTCCTCGTAGGGTAGATTTCGAAGCCTGGGATTACGCAGACCGCCACGTTGCAGTCTTTGCACCGATATCGTTTCCTTCCGGATCTTGGTACCTCCGGTGGACGAGGCCTTGCAGCAGACGATACAGCGCCGAGTCGGGAGCTGCTTGTTCTCTGTTGGAAGAATGAAGCTTACAAAATGGCGAGCTGTAAGCCGCGTGGCTTCATTGTCGAACTTTCTTCCAACTTTCTTCCGCTAGCTTTCATCGTGATTTGCTGAAATCACCTTCTCTACAAGGTCCAGTCGGTAGTCCAGTTGACTGAGTGCGCCTCCTTGTTTCTTGTACAGAACGAAAGAGTCGTAGACACACATGTCGAAAAGGTGCCTGAAGATCTTCTTGTAATAGACCTTCTACCCATCTCTCACAGCCGGGTAGTGCAAGAGGTTCTGGTCGTTCTTGTCGACTCCTCCCATGGTGTTGTTGTAGTAGTAAACTGCAGCAGGCTTCACGACTTTCTCGTTCCGGGCGTTGACGCCTTCAACGACTGTGGCATCGTGAACTGTGCTCAGCAAGGTAACGAGCTTTTTGTCGCGCCACTGCAGGGCCATGCACTTTCCTCGCTGAAACGCCCGACTTCTCCTTTCTTGAGTTTGAGGTCTTTGAAGGTGGGCATGTCCTTTTTTGTTGGCCGAACCGTGCCATATACATCAGTCTTTTGCTACAGGAGCTTGTCTACAAGCTCTGGAAAGGTGTAGTAATTGTCGACAGTGACGCAGTACCCTTTGCAAAAAAAAGGTTCCATCACGCTCAGGACGATCTTCGTGCTCATGGCACTGTCTGCATCCGGCGTAACAGTCCCCTCGCCGGTGTAAACGAGGAGGTTAGAGACGTACCCGCTCTCAGACTCGCAAAGGAGAAAGAACTTCACACCAAAGCGTGAGCGCTTCAGGGGCAGGTACTGCTTCCAGGACAGCCTTCCTTTGTACAGCATCAAGCTTTCATCCACTGCTACAGTGCTCTCAGGAACATAGAGGGTCAGAAACCGTTCCTTGAGGAGACACAGCAGCAGCCACAGCTTGCGAAGCTTCGGTTGGGGGTGCTGTGATTCATCAATCTCATCTTCGTTGTCGGAAAAATGAAGAAACTTCATTATCAGGTGAAATCTGTTCTTGCTCATGAGTTCACCAAAGATGGGGGTTTGGAGAATCCTCCTGGCCGACCAGTACATGGCGAGTTCAGGCTTGTCTATAATGCCTTGCGGCAGTGTCAATGCGAGGAACACCTTGAGCTCCTGCGCAGTCAACAGCTTCCACGCTGCAGCGCGAGAGCCATCAGTTGTCCGATGTTTTGCGAGAAACTGTGAAGCGTACCTGTTCGTTTCTTGCACAATCGGGGCGATGACCTCGTCGTCAAAAAATAGCTCGAAAAACTCAAGAGGGTTGCGCTAATCTTGAACTGTAGCCGTCATACCGGGAGACGCCAGAAAGGGAAATCGAAGGGGTGGAGGCAACAGCTTCTCATTATCAAGCTTCGTCCACTTCCGAGATGCCTGTAAATCTTCGTCGTCACTTGTGTCGCACTCGTCCGAGCTCAGTTTAAGATCTGATGAATGATCGCTGACACTGTCGAGAACCAGTTCCTCATCTTCATCTGAACTGCTTTGAGTCTGGGCAAAAGCGTTTTCGCCGTGGCACATGCGCGTCTCCGCTGCTGCATGCGCTTGAGGACGCCGCCATTTTTAAAACCAAGGCAGCCAGGCGATTGCTCCAGCTTCTCCAAAATTGGCGGAGCGCGAAAAAAGTTTGGGTCGCCTAGCGCCATCTGGAGATTGCCGGTAACAATGAAGCGCTTTGGACGTGCCCAGCTCGTCTCTGGCATGTAGGAGACATCTCCGCATCGCAGGACGAGTGAGACTCGTCACTGGGAGAATTAGCACGGCAAGCGTGGACGAGTGGGACTGGTCCATGGCAGTTAAAGGGATGCTGAACCGAAATCTAGATTCCACAAGACACGGCGGCAAAAGCGTGCAACGGGATGCTACAAACACCAAAACATCACTCATACAGCGATATCTCGAACGGATGATCGTATTTTTCAAAAAAAGGAGGCGCATTTGACAGATGGAGAGGAACGGCCTCGCGTCTTCTCCGCCTCCTCGCCTTGAGGGGGCGAAGCGAAAAGAGGAAACGAGATATCTTCACGTCACGCGCCTCGGTGGCCTTGTTCAATCTCGGCCTCTTTTTCCAAAAATATGAGCTTCCATTCAAGATATCGCCTTACGAGTAGTGTTGTGGGGATTGCAGCGTTCCACCTACATCTTGTGTTTTTTTTTTTTTAATCCCAATTTTGGTTCACCATCCCTTTAAGGAGTTAATGGGTGTCGTTTCGCAGTTTCCATCTATTTAAGAAAATTAAGCAGAACTATCATGCTCAACGTTTCATATCCAACATTTCTCAATCTTCTCACCTTTCTAAACGTCCACATATGTCCTAACATCAGAAACCAGCATTTTAAAAGTTTAAAACGAGACGTTGCAAATATGAGACGCACACTTTCATGCAAAGCTGGCGTCAAGTGGCTCAAATTGAAATACGTGCATACTAAGAATAATATTGTTATCTCTTCTGGTAAAGGCTCAGAACCCGTTGCATTCATTTTCACGCACAAAACAGTGACTTGCAGAAAAAGTAAGAACACAATGTTGTCGCCTTTATTTTAACATTGTACCATTTATTTTAAAATAAATGCGAACAGTGGCGGAACTTTGAGCCCACTACCGATGCAGCTTCCAAGCTTGGGTTGTGGTTGGCAAGTTTCGAACACGTCGGAGTAGCACGCCCAACCTCGCAGCACCCTACTCCTCTGTGTTCAAATCTTGCCAAGCATAACCCGAAACGGAAGCTGCATCGAGGCAGGTTTGAAGTTCTGTCACTGTTTGGATTTTGTCCTAACTTAATGGTACACACTTGTAGGCTTGCGCTGATGAGGCCTCAAAACCAAAACTCGCGTACCCTGGCTGTGGCCGCTACTACCCAACGTCGTTGTCATAGCACTTCTTTAAGACGTCACTGGAAAATTGCCAGTAAACACACAAAGGATTATACTGATACATTTATCTGGTAGAATATCGCCTTATTTAACAATAACTGTGTCAATATGCACTGTATGTTGCATTTAATTTTTCTTTAATAAAAAAAAAAACATTTTCTAGAAACATTTAAATTTTATTTTTTTAACTCTGGCAACAATGTGTCTTTGCCGAATTTTTAGAAAAGTTCAGCTAACCTTTGGTTTTGCCGAATCCCAAGATACGGTGCCAAATTTTCGATTTAGCAGAAGTTTGGTCCATCACTGGTTTATATGTTGTATGTTGCCTGATGTGGCTTGATTTGTTTATTTTGCATGTGTTGATGCTAAATAAAGATGATGCTTTCAACTCAGATTGGTGCTTGTCTTGCCTTGTACCCGTTACAATGGCAGTGGAATAGTCCCAGCTCTGACGAGAACCTTAGCAGGTTGTTCCATAGTGTACAATGACAACATCCCCCCCTCCCCTCTCAAATCGGGTGCTTCTGCTGACCTTCTGGGCTTTCCATCGTGGGAATTGTGTAGGGTTTTGTGTTTGCGGTATACACCAGTAGACCCCAAAAGTAACCCCTGAACTGGTTTTGTCAAAATCGGAAAAACAAAACAAAAAGCTGTTCTTCAATGAAGAAAACCTTAGGGTAAACCCCATCCTCACAGAGAAAAAACCTTTATGTTCCGCCTTATTTTGAATCATTCCGGAGCACGGACCCCAGTGAACTGTCCATGGAGCTGCTGCATCCTTCGAGAAACATGGCCCTTTTCTCGTTTTCTTCTCTTCTCGGTACCGGCATGTCTTCCCAAGTCCCCGGATGTCACACACCCTTGAGGTTGGAGAATTCCGTGCCTGTGTCCCTCTTTCTTTGACGTGAGCGTGGACAAACGCAAATTCTTATCGTACGGCGGTGAATATTTCTGTCTCAAAACACCCCCAAATTCAAAGAAAAATACACTTGGAAAACATGGAACCCTAGACGCTGTGAACAAATTATTTTTTGTGTACTCACATTTTCGTGAAGCAGTTCGAAGCTGGAAATTTCGAATTATTTGCTGGTTCTAATTCTTGCGAATCGAGAATTAGAACCCGCAGGGACCATGAATTGAAGGTGACAATGAATTCCGGCTGGATGCATTATTTTCTTTCAGATATTTTAAATACTTGTGTTATTTACAGAACATATGTAGTGATCACGTGAGAACCTTTGCATGCATGTTTTTCCTTTTTTTTGTATTGTTGCTCAAGGAAGCACACCTTTTAGTGGCTTTCGAGGTGTCAACATTTTGCTAGAATTTAATTTTGCATATCATAGGCAATTCGTGAAATTCGCTAAAAGGGAGTCGTTTACATTATCTGTGTTGGTGCTCAGTCAGTGTCAACTTGAGGCAGTGTTCAGATTACAAGTTTGTGTGACTGGGGAGGTTAGCTGTACCGGGTAAAAATACAAGCACGCATATTATCTTTCGATGCACATAATTTCTTGCTATGAAGAGAAAGCTATATTGAGCATTGTCTAGCATTTCGGGCTTTCACATTCTGTTTCGTGACAGGAGGAAAGTTAATTCTCTACGTTTTGTCATGCTTCGGCTGTATGCTCGCGCTTGAGCACAAAATGCCGAAGTGTCGTCCAAGCTAGGGGACCGCTTCCTCTTGTTCTCGCCTTGCCTGTGACCATTGACGAGAAAATCGAGCTATAGGAAGTCCACTTTCTAGTTTGTTTTCCTGAGAGCTCTGTGTTTACCCGACTCTAGGCCCGTGGACTCGATTCCTTATGTTTCATTTCATTTCGTTTTATTACCTTAAGGATCTCTTTCGAGGCATTACATAAGGGGGGTACATCAAATTCCCATTACTTATAATAAAATTGGAAAAACACTGATGAGAACAAGAAAGAGAAAAAAGCATCATTACACAGTAGATTATTTAAACAACTTAACAAGCTCCTACGTAAAATAGTTGTAGTTATTTGTTGTCACAGAGCTTGAGGGCAGGCTGTTCCAATCCGAAATGGGAGAGGTGAGTACTTGTAGGAGTTAGTTCTGGAGAAAATAGGTTCAACTTTACACGGGGAGCATTTTGGATGGGGACGTAGTAGTTCATATAGGAGAGTGTTTTAATAAATGTTCTTGCTCCGTACTCTGGTATGTGTGTCTTCTCTTCCGCTACGGTCAAGAGAGTCGGACAAGGTGGTCGATCGTCGGCACTGACGGAGGTATCTATCGAACCGACCTGCGGTAATATAGCCCTAAACGTTGTCTATATTGCCGCGGAGACGTGAGGACCACGCTACTAGGTTTGACAAATCCTTTGAAATCACCGCCACTGTAGAGATAACCCTTTGGTTAATCTATCGGTACCTCTGTTGGTAGTTAGCAAATTGCACAAAAGTTAATCGCTTGGGGCGCAGCAATTGACTCTTTTCTGCAATAGTGAATACAGGGAGAATACAAAAGTTGCAGGAAATGAGCAAATGAATTAGTGAAAGGGAAGACCGGACTATTTGGCAGAAGTAACGAACCACAATGCAAAGTCAATTCACAACAATTCATCTTTTTCTGGTTGGCTTATGTTCAGCCATGATGTCATTGGTGGATGGAACCAATTGTCGCTCACTGTATTACATTCTCCAAACGTTTGTGACTGTCTTTTTCTTTTTCTAGGTGGAGGCACAGGTCCGAAAGTTTCATCACTGTGATGAATGCCTGAATGCCAGCTCACTCCCACCCAGCTTGACTGTGCAGCATCCACATATATAGTACTCCTGCTTAGATGCTTAAATCCAGTGTATCTGTAAAGATGTATATGCGTCAAGTCCATATTTTAGCCAATTTTACTTGAAAGGTTCCCAGCCTTGCACTTATTATTCCAAGCTTTGGCAGCTCTTCAGTTCTGTGCTGCTTTTGGTGATAGGATTGCATTCTATCCAGGGCTGCTGGAGGCAGCCCTGGATAGAATGCAATCTATCCAGGGCATTCTATGCATTCTATCATGGCATTCTATCCAGGGCTGCATCTGCTTTGTATCTGTCCGTGCTCATGAAACCTACAGCATCCTAAGCATTTAGCGGCTTTTCTTGCCTTATTACATGTCCCTTGTAACAATGAGAATTTACAATGTAGGTGTTGTGATTGTTTGGAAGAACTGATGGTACTGTTGGTACATTTTTCTGCTTATTATCATGATATACCGTAGAATACCGCGCATCCGCCCATTTAACATTAAGTGCCCATTCTCAAATTTCTAAGATCTGAGAAAATATGCACAGTAGATCAATATGTAAAATTGATGACCGGACAAGCGCCCAACCCCCATTTTTTCGCAATTATCTCTAGTTTGAGTGGGTGCTTGTCCGGTATTTTGCGGTATGTTGTTATTTCAAGAAGGTTTATTGTTCACGTTCACATTCTTCTTTTCTTTTGGTGTCAACTTCTGTATTTCCTCAATCTCGGGTTGCTTCGAAATGTTTAGTATACATAGTCTTACCTTTTGCGAGCATCATTAAGTCGTTCTGAGTTTGTGACTTGCGCCTGGTGCCAATTTTTCACTGCTATATGTCATATGAGGCCACTCAATGCGGGTACTTAATCTGTTTCTTTTATGTCCAGTCAATCAT